CTGCAGCGACCTGGGAGGACGCACGAACCGGGGGGGAAGCGGTGTCGAGAATAAACAGACCGGACACCGGGTCCCGGGGGAACGTCGCAAGGGGGGAACCTGAGACAGCCTCAGAACAGACAGCGAACTGCTCGTGTCCGGGGAACGTGGTGGTGACGCCGAGGTCCTGGAGACAGCCGACACCAACCAGGTTCCTGGAGAACGAGGGAACGTGGAGGCCAGTAAGGGAGACCCAGGGAACTGCCGGACAGGGAAGAGACGTAGAACTGCGCGCGACAGGACCCGCTGAGGGGTCAGCGAGAGAGAGAACTGCAGGTGCAGCGAGCGGCGTGAGCGTGGACCGGTCGCGGAAGAAACAGGCAGAGGCCCTGGAGTCGAGAGTGAAGGACAGCGACGCAGTGGCGGAGGCCGGGGACGGAGCCTGTGCAGCGACTAGACTAGGCAACCTAGGAAGTCCTACGCCTGACGCAGTAGGGGAAGCAAAGCTACACAACGGGGCAACACCTAAACTAGAGTACACAGGGTAATAAGATCCAGCAACACTAGAAGCATCAGAATACAAGGCATGCACAGCAGCTCCTATCTGATCCATGTCTAACTCAAAGATCGGCACGCCCTGGCGGAGCAGGCTGTGCCAGTCGGGGAGGTCCGGGGCCGGGCCAAAGCGACGACGAAAGAGATCGTCGAGGCGGCGGAAACAGCGGGCAGTCGGGTGCGGGCGGCGGCACAGAGTGCCGCGAAGAGGCCCGGTCTGAAGCTGGTACTCGCAGGTGATAGCACTGGAGCCGCCGGTAGACGCCAAGCTGCGCGGGCCGCCACCACGGCCACTACCTCCAGAGGTGCCGGGCCAAACAGGCGGGAGACGGGCCCACTACTGCGGCGACTGCTGCTGGGACGGCGGCTGCGGCTGAGGCTGCTCCTGCTGCGGCTGGGGCTGCTGCTCCTGCCCACCAGTGGTAGTCGCCGCAGGTGGACTACCGTCACCACTACCGCCACCACCCCTACCTCCCTGGCGACCACGGCCACCACGGCGCGGGCGCTGCTGCGGGTGGACCGCACCAGCCGTCTCGGTGAGAGGGGCCGTCGAGGCGACCGCAGCCGAAACGTCAGTGAATGTACACTGGGAGGGGGCACAACCGTGAAAGATAGAAACTGCCGGCGCACCGCTCGATTGAGCAATAGTACGCTGGCGAGTCTCGATCTCTGTGAGGGTATCGACAAAGGCAGGAAGGGTGAGGTCACCTGGGTGCTGGCTAAGAAAGTGATCGCGGGCACTAGCGAGGCGGTCTGGCAGGCGCATGACGATAAAATAGAGTGTCATGCAGAAAGGGGGGGGGAGCGCAGTGAGCTGGGCAGCAGTGCTGGCAGTGCGAAAGCGGGTCTCTAGGGCACGCAGGTGAGTGGCAAAGTCTGCGACGGTAGGGGAAGCTGCAAGGTCTGGGAAAAGCATAGGGAAGAGCAGGCGGCCAGCAGAAGCAGACGCGGGTGTGGAATAGCGAGCAATAACAGCGTCTAAGTAAGCTTTGGCCGTGTCAATAGTAGCAAAACGCGAGCGCTCAGAGACAGGGAGGGCGTGACTAATGGCAACCTGGGCGACTGCATCGCGGGAGTCCCAGACCGCACGGGCAAGCGCGGCAGTAGAGAAGGCCTCTCGGTCATCAGAGGAGGAATCAGCAGGGAGGGGAGCAGGGGCGGGGGGGCGGGGGAGCAAGCCGTCGACATGGACAACCAAGGAGTGGCCATCGTGGCGCTGACCTGTAAGGTGGCGGCGGAGATCGGAGAGCCAGGCGGCGAAGTCAATCGCATGGCCCTCGGCGTCCAGTCGGAGCACGAAGTCCGCCATCGTGCAGGGTCAGCGGCACAGCTCCACAGGAACACAGCGACACAGGAACACAGTGACAGCCCCCTCCAGCACGGCGGCCGCGAAGCGCCTCAGCACGGGCGAGCAGGGAGGGGAGGGGCCAGGCAGGTGCGGTGGGGGCCAGGCAGGTGCTGGCGGGGCTAGGCAGGCGCGGCGGGTCCAGGCAGGCGCGGCGGGGCCAGGCAGGCGCGGCGTGGCCAGGCAGGGGCGGCGGGGCCAGGCAGGGGCGGCGGGGCCAGGAGGCACGGCTGGGCCAGGCAGGCGCGACGGGGCCAGGCAGGGGCGGCGGGGCCAGGAGGCGCGGCTGGGCCAGGCAGGGGTGGCAGGGCCAGGCAGGGGCGGCGCGGCCAGGCGGCGCGGCAGGGCCAGGCAGGCGTGACGGGGCCAGGCAGGCGCGGCGGGGCCTAGCAGGCGCGGCGGGGCCAGGCAGAGGCGGCGGGGCCAGGCAGGGGCGGCGGGGCCAGGAGGCGCGGCAGGGCCAGGCAGGCGTGACGGGGCCAGGCAGGAGCGGCGGGGCCTAGCAAGCGCGGCGGGGCCAGGCAGGCGTGACGGGGCCAGGCAGGCGCGGCGGGGCCTGGCAGGCGCGGCGGGGCCAGGCAGAGGCGGCGGGGCCAGGAGGCGCGGCGGGGCCAGGCAGGGGCGGCGGGGCCAGGAGGCACGGCTGGGCCAGGCAGGCGCGACGGGGCCAGGCAGGGGCGGCGGGGCCAGAAGGCGCGGCTGGGCCAGGCAGGGGTGGCGGGGCCAGGCAGGGGCGGCGCGGCCAGGCGGCGCGGAAGGGCCAGGCAGGCGTGACGGGGTCAGGCAGGGGCGGCGGGGCCAGGAAGGCGCGACGGGGCCAGGCAGGCACGGCGAGGGGCAAGGAGGCACGAGGGGCCCAGTAGGGGCACTGCGGGCTAGGAGGCGCGGCAGGGGCCCAGGAGGGGCACTACGGGCTAGGGGGCACGACCGGGGCCCAGGAGGGGCGCGACGGGGCCTAGTAGGCGCGGAAGGACCTAGGAGGCGCGACGGGGCCTAGGAGGCGCGACGGGGACCCAGGAGGGGCGCGACGGGCCTTAGGAGGCGCGGCAGGGCCTAGGAGGCGCGACGGGACCTAGGAGGCGCGACGGGGGGCCCAGGAGGGGCGCGACAAGCTAGGAGTCGCGATAGGGGCCCAGGAGGGGCGCGACGGGGCCTAGTAGGCGCGGAAGGGCCTAGGAGGCGCGACGGGGCCTAGGAGGCGCGACGGGGACCCAGGAGGGGCGCGACGGGGCCTAGGAAGCGCGGCAGGGCCTAAGAGGCGCGACGGGACCTACAAGGCGCGACGGGGGGCACAGGAGGGGCGCGACAGGCTAGGAGTCGCGATAGGGGCCCAGGAGGGGCGCGACGGGGCCTAGGAGGGGGCGGCGCGACGGGGCCTAGGTGACAGCGCGACGGGGCCTAGGAGGCACGGGCGGAAGCGGTAGGTGGGGGGTCTAACCTACGGGTGATACCATGTTAGAAGAAAAATTGAATAAGTGTTTAATAGTGAGAGAGAGAACAAGGGTATATACCTAAGAGTATTGTACCCTCTAAGAGGTGACCCTATACAGTCTATACAAATATGAGTTATGCATATATTTAACACAGAAACCTAAAAAATGTACCTGATGAGTCAGGCTTTTTTTTTGGGTTGCGGAGCAACCTATTGCAATAGATCGGGCTGGTTTTTTTTTTTTCAAGTTTGTGAAATAAAAATTAAATGCTTTTTGTGATGGAAATAAAACATTTTATGTATAATAAACAGGCCCTCAGATTGGTTTTAGGGAGGCTGATTGCCCAAGGTCGCCCATGTGCGAGCCCATGCTTTTCAGGGTCGGGTTTTGGGCGTGGCATGTTTTTTCAGGCCAATTGTTTTTTTTAGTCTGACTTATCAGGCCTACATTTTTGTAGTTTCTGATTCTTAGGTCGGATCGGACTTCATTGCGTACAATTCTTCTCCTCAGATTCCTGCCTGATTTTAACTAAGGACCAATCAACCCCCTCACACATCCTCCAGCTCGCCTGGAACTTATGTGATTCTGGTCAAGGACCAATCACACCCCCCACACATGTTGTAGCTCGCCTTGAAGTTCCGTGATTGTGGTCAAGGACCAATCACGCCCCTCACACGTGCTCTAGCTCGCCTTGGCAGATAAGATTCAGATTCAGGGCGAAATTCGAGTAAGGCTGATTCATCAGGCTCGGTAAAACAAGAACATACTATTTTTCAGGCCTTAGAAAATGGGAACACATAAATTTCAGGTTTGATAAAAATCAAAACCTGAAAAATCAGGGTATGCCCTAGAAAACACCCTGATATACAGGCTTTCAGGCCTTTTTGGCCTGACTTCTGAGGCCCTGATAATAAAGTCTCATCATGAAGTGCTCCGCAACCCTAAGACGATCTCGTCGCCTCTTTTTTTTTTGTTTTTTTTTTTACGAAACATGCCCTGTCTAACATAATGTGCTAGGTTAAAATCCTACCCACCCTAAAAAATCCTCAAGGTTCACCCTATCATCTCAGCTCTGAAAAGTTTGTCATGATTTTTCAGCCTTCGAAAAAATTTACCCTGAAAAAAATTGCAACTTCCAAAACCCGACCCTGAAAAACGGGGGCTCATTCTGGGGGCACCCTGAGCCAACAGCCCCTCAAAATCCAATCTGAAGCCCTGAACCACACCGATGCCCTGGCAAAGTGGCAGCTTTAACAATGATTATTATTGCAATCCTCTTATGGGCTGACATCTTTGTATGCCAAAAATTGTTTTAATTTGTTTAATTTTTCAATGTGTAAAGAGTCGTGTGGTTGAAATTAATTCATAGGTATTTTTCAAAATTGAACTAATGTGTGCTGATTCTAAATATAATCATGGATGTCACTACTTCCCATATTTCTCTACACGCATTATCAAACTTTTAGAGGCCAACACCAACCAACCGACTTGCCTCGGGGAAAAAACGTAGAAACCTCTCTTCAGTGATCTGGCACCCATCCCACGTCATTAGTTGGCCCAAACACCACAACTGTTTACTCGCTGTTCCCCTTGTCCCCAACGTTGTCGTCACCACGTCATGAACACTCTCACATCGCACGCCTTGCTTCAGCGTTCGCCTATCTCTCCGCGACCAATCGGACCTCATATTGCCACGGTCGAGCCTCGCTCCACCCGCAAGCTGACGGTGACATGGACATCCCGAGGATCGCTGGCCGACTCCAGCGGCGGCCTTGCGTCCTACCAGCCGAGCCGCGCTGGCTGGTTCGAGGAGAAGCTGAGCTGTGTAAGATGATAAAACCGAAAGCACGACTGCCTAGTTGCCATTAGCCTCGTTTCCTCCGACCAAATCGAGAGCCATCCACCGTTGCATCCTTCGAGCTCTAGTTGGACCGTCGTCTCCGCTGTTGGTCAATTCTTCTTGAACGTCAGCCTGATCTTGTCGGCCTAACTCCGAGAACCAGTAGTTCTCGCTTCAAGCAGATCAACCGTCATGGACATTAAGGAGGACGCTCGCGTGGTCGTCGAGAAGGGCGCCATCGCCGACCCTGCTCCTCTGGGTCTGGCAGCCTTCGCGCTGACCACCTACGTCCTCTCGTGCCACAACGCCGGCTGGGCTCCCGACATCATCTGGGTCGGCCTCGCGTTCTTCTATGGCGGCCTCGCGCAGCTGCTGGCCGGCATGTGGGAGTTCAAGAAGAACAACACCTTCGGCGCCACCGCGTTCTCCACCTACGGTGCCTTCTGGATGGGCCTAGGTTTCTTCGTTCTTCTCAAGATACTTGGCTACGTAAGTAGTAGAAGTTCGCCCGTGTTCTGTGACAATTTGGATATCACTTGCCAATTTGGAACCTTCTCGTTTTCCAGCATCCTGCTTACAAGGTTCATAACACCTGCTGCTCCGTCTTGTCTCACGTTTGTTTCCGCAGACCACGATGCTTCAAGCCAACGACGTTACCGAGGCTCTCGGGTGGTTCCTGTCGGGATTCTTCATCTTCAACAGCTACATGAACGTGTGCGCGCTCATGGTGAACCATGCCGTGCTGCTCGTCTTCACGCTGCTCGAGATCACCCTGCTGCTGCTCTTCGTCGGGAATTTTAGCAACCAGCATGCCGGAGAGGGCTGGATCAAGGCTGGCGGCTACTTCGGCCTCTTCACCGCTATTGCTGGTAAGTGGTTTTGTTCGGTGGTCTTTGCGCGGTACTTCATTTGCAAAACCGTGACTTTTGCTCGCTCAATATAATTGCTCCTTGACTACCACAAAAAGTGTAACAATTGCATTTGCCTGTGGGACGCTTTTTGACTTTCTACTCTTTCTAAACATTTCCCTCTAAAACTTCACTGTTCTTGCTCTCCCGACCAGCCTGGTACGCCTCCGGTGCGGCATGCTTCAACGCCATGGCGGGCAAGACGGTGCTCTACGTTGGTAAGCCCATCCTCAAGTTCAACCGGAGCGAGTAATCATCAATTGCCTGGAGGGGCTTACTTGAGCGTTAGGGATTGGGCGTGACTGTAGGTTGGTTTTCCAGTAGCCAAGGTTCCTGCTTTTGGGAAACGGGAGGTAGTCCTGAATGGTGGGTGTTGGCATACTGCTCTGAAACTGTGAGATTTTAGGGTCAGGGATTTGTGATTTAGCTGCTGCTGTGCTGCGGCTTTAGGAGCTCCATGTGGGCTAGGGCGTGGCTAGGCTGGCATCTGGCTTCCCTAGAGAAGGTTTGTGGTGTATGTATTATTCATGTTTAAAATGACTAATTTATGCGTACTGAGTTTCTGACATGGCTTATGTTGGTGCAAAGACAAATGAACGCACTCTTGTGTATGAATTACTGTGATTATAATTCTGTTGAATGTGACTACACTCTTAGGTGTGTCATTTCATCTAGCTGCAATTAGATGTAATATATTGGAATCCTCGATGCTGTGATCTGTCACCAGTCCCACGTCAGCTGCTCGCCTAGCCAGCACAGCAGTCCCCTTCTGTCCCCAGGTGTGACGGTTCACGTCCCGGCACCACGTCAAGGATATTCTCGCATCGCACATGGCTGTTCACTGTTAGCCTAGGCAATCTCGACCAGCAATCAGGAATCAAGTTGCCACAGTCGAACTCGCTGTCACCCCTGGGCTGATGATGACATGGACATCAACAAGATCACCTGGGAGCGAGGCGACCCGACGCTGTGCTCTCATTCCAATTTGGTGCTAACGAGCCGCGTTTGCATTTTGGAGGGAAAGCCTGATAGGCAATGCAGGCCGGATGATACGTGAAATGGCATTCACAAGGCCTATCTCGTCTCCGACCAAACCGAGCCGGCGTCGGCATCGCCTTTGCCAGATTCCCGTTCGAACCATTCATTGCTTGCTGATGATCAGGTTTCGTATATAAAGGGCCTGAAGGCTTCACATATCACAGACGCCAATCCAGTGCTGGTCTTCGAGCAGCACTCTCAACCCCTGTGCTGGTCTTTGAGCAGCACTTCCGACGCCACCTCAGTGCTCGTTTTCAAGCTCGTCGACGTCTGCCTTCAATCGGGCTTACGCAGGTGCACACGATTCACGCGAAACGCACTTTGAAATCACCGCGATTCCCAATGTGATATTGTGATCTATTCACTTCCTATCGATTCCAATCCACCGCTTGTCCTTTGTATTTCAGATTCCAATAACTCCGCTGCACGCCAAACGCCATGGACATTAAGGAGGACGCGCGCGTGGTCGTCGAGAAGGGCGCCATCGCCGACCCTGCTCCTCTGGGTCTGGCGGCCTTTGCGCTGACCACGTACGTCCTCTCGTGCCACAACGCCGGCTGGGCTCCCGACGTCATCTGGGTCGGCCTCGCGTTCTTCTATGGCGGCCTCGCGCAGCTGCTGGCCGGCATGTGGGAGTTCAAGAAGAACAACACTTTCGGCGCCACCGCGTTCTCCACCTACGGTGCCTTCTGGTTGGGCCTTGGTTTCTTCGTTCTCCTCAAGATTCTTGGCTACGTAAGTTGGAAATTGCGTTTTCCTTGAGCCATTCACATTTAAAGAGTGCAAGTTTGTGACCTCCCGTTCCTATCGCCAATTCACATCATGATTCTTATTGCTCCTTCCTGAAATCTCGCATCATGTGCCGTATGATGCCTGCAGACCACGATGCTTCAGGCCACCGACGTGTCTGAGGCTCTCGGGTGGTTCCTGTCGGGTTTCTTCATCTTCAACAGCTACATGAACGTGTGCGCGCTCATGGCGAACCACGCCGTGCTGCTCGTTTTCTCGCTGCTCGAGATCACCCTGCTGCTGCTCTTCATCGGGAATTTCAACCACCAGCATCCTGGACAGGGCTGGATCAAGGCTGGCGGCTACTTTGGCCTCTTCACTGCCATTGCTGGTAAGAGCTATTTCTAGGGTGGTGGCCAGTGAGTGTCACGGAAAGACCTAAAAATCTCACGAAACGTGAAGAATTGCATTTCATGCCACCTTGTCTGACCGTCCGTGTTTCCCCCTCCTGATTGACTCCAAAATTCCTTGCACCGTCTTGTTCTTCTGTCCAGCCTGGTATGCTTCAGGTGCGGCCTGCTTCAACGCCATGGCCGGCAAGACGGTGCTGTACGTTGGTAAGCCCATCCTCAAGTTCGACAGGAGCGAGTAAATCACGGATGGTCAGCGGAACTACTTCCAGCTTCAGGGTTTGGACACAAAGTTGGTTATTCAATAACTTAGCAGAGCGTGGCGTATTGTTCAGAACTTCAGACAGCACTAGGGCTAGTGAGTTTGTTTTTGCTGCTGCGGAGAGCCGCCTGCGGGTTAGGGCATACCGGTAGCTTGACGGGCTTTCCTAAGGAGACCCGTTGGGATAATTATTCGAGTTTGTTGGCCATTGTATGCACAATTTCACGTATACTCGGCAGAGGTACCATTTGTGCATTCCTGATATTACACTTAGACTGTAAAGTAACACGTTCCCTCATAGACGGACGCGTGTGATGACGTCAGCAGTAGCGAGTTAAGGTGTGAACAGTTGGTGCGCGCGTATAGTCAATCTAAGAGCGAAGGGTCTGCGGAGGACGGACAAAACTGCAGGTCTGCAAGGTTAGCACGCAGCGTGTCGTGCCACTCGCGGGACGTCTGGCTCAAGCCGTAGCCTGGGCGCTGCAGGAGCCACTGAGTCCGAGGAGGGAAGGTACCAGTGAAACCCTGAGGTCGGCGCAGGTAGACCTACTCGTGTAGACTGCCCTGAAGGAACGCAGTAGAGAAGTCGAGGGAGTGTAACTCGTAGTCACGCTGTGCTGCTACGTGTAGCAGTGCCCGAAGAGTAGTCATCTTCGGGATCGGGGCAAAAGTCTGAAAGAAGTCCACCCCCTCGCGCTGACTAAAGCCTCTAGCCACGTAGCGCGCCTTGAACACAGACGGCTCTCCAGGAGGGCGCTTCACCTTGAAGAGCCAGCGGCCATCGACTACGTTCACCCCAGGTGGAGGAACTGCGTCGACGTAGATGCCGGTGGATCTCCAAGATGCCATCTCCTGCTCCATGGCAGCTATCCACTGAGAGGCTCAAGGTCCCGAGGTCGCCTCAGCGTAAGTGCGATGGGTCGGGATGTCAAAAGCGTCTGGGTCACCCTCAGGGAATAACAGCATGGAGCAGAGATGGGGAGCAGCCTCGGACAGGAAAGCAAGCTCGTACTGGCGGTCCTCCAGGACGTCACTGCCGAGGGCAGGAGCACCCCCGACAGACGGAGGACAGGCAGGGTCAGAGACCAGAGCGGCAGCGTAGTCAAGGCGGCAGGTAGTGGCAAAGTCAGCGACCGCAGCGACAAGAGCGTCAAGACACGAGACCGGAATAGACGAGTCGGTAACGAGAGATGCAAGGACCTGAGGAACAAGAGGACCAGCGGCGCGAAGGTCGTCAGACAGAGGAGGAGGCGCAACAACAAGGGAGGACGGAGGAGGCGCCGATAGGAGGGTAGAACGAGATACGTGGGAACGGAGCAACATAGGGTGAGAGCGCGGGACAGGGGAGACGAGGCGAGCACGGGAGGGACGGCGAGTCCAGACGTAAGATGGAGGAGTCGGGTCAGGAGACAGGGGAGGGGACACAGAAGGGGAACGAGGGGGAAGACGAGCCAAAGTCGAGTCCGGGGGAGGGAACACAGGTCCGTAGACAGGGAGAGGAGGAGACGACAGGCGAGGCGCAGACGCAAGGTCAGGGGACGGAAGGCCGAGCAGGCGAAGGGCTGACACCGGTGGTGACTGCTGCGGCGACGACACAGCACTGACTCTGGGTCCACAAGCTGCTCCACGGCTACCTTCGGAACACTCCACTTCAGCACCCCCAGAAGGAACACCCCCAGAGCCCGAAACCCCTCGAGCATCGGTACCACCCCCAGGCCCGCCGGGACAAGCCACGACAGGAACCCCAGGACGAGTACCCACCCCAACGTCAGCACCCCGAGAGTCAACGAATTGCTGCGGTGATGGCTACAACGGCGGCGGCTGCAACGACGATTGCGGCGGCGGCGACGACGGCGGCGACGTCGGCTGCGACAGTGGTGGCGACGGCGGCTGCGGAGGAAGCAGAGGAGGGGACACCTAAGGAGGGGCAGGCGGCAAGGACTGTGCCGCACGACCACCAAAGTCAGCAGACTCCTCGACCGGGACAACCGATATGAGGGGGGTGACGTGGGACATTCCAGACTGTGTAGGATGGGGAGGGGGAGGGGGAGGGGCAGGGGTCACCGGGGAAGGGGTGACCAAGAAGAGGGGGGGAGTAACTGGGGGACCTCAGTGGGGGAAACGGTGGTAGAAGGAGACGGACTCGTCAAAGGTGACGTCGCGGGAGTGAAAGAACCGGTGAGACTCCTGGTGATAGAAGTGCCAGTCAGACGAGTCAAGGGGGAAACCGAGGAAGACACAAGGGAGGGTGCGGGCAGTGAGCTTGTCCGTGCCAGAGGCACGAACGTGAGCAAGGCAACCCCAGACGTGGAACGCAGACGCATCACCAGGAGACCCGGACCAAAGAAGGGTCGTCGAAACGTGCGGCTGCTGGGGGTGCGGCCACAGGTTAAGCTGGTGAGCGGCGTAGCGAACGGCGAACGGCCACAGAAATTGGGGTGCACCAGCATGGATCATGGAGGTACGAGCCACCTCCATGACCAAACCGATGCGTCACTCAGCGACCCCATTCTGCTGCGGGGAGTCCGGCAAGGTGAACAACTAGGTGATGCCCTCCGCACGACAGAAACGACCAAAGACGCCGGAGGCAAACTCGCCGCCACGGTCGGAGTGTAGGCGCAAGACAGGGAGACCGCGGCGGACACGCGTAGAGAGAAGCCACGGGATGAGAACGTCAGGCACGTCAGCCTTCCGCTCCAGGGGAAAGACGGTGGTGTAGCGCGTGTAGTCGTCGACAAGCACTAGGAAGTAACGCTCTCGACGCGGCCCATGGACGAAACGGGGCCCCAGACGTCCATGTGCAGGGTCTGTAGCGGTGCGGCGATAGGGGGGAACGAGGAGGAGTGAGGGGCACGGCGTAGAGCGCTGGCGGGTCTCTATAGCAGACAGGGTGTTGACAAAGTCAATGAGGGTGAGGTCACCGGGGTGGATGCTAAGGAAGCGGTCGCGGGCAGTAGCAAGACGATCAGGGAGGCGGGAGGCAAGCAAGTAGAGGGTAGAGCAGAGGGGCGGCTAAAAGACTCTAAGCTGGGTCTCAGTGCAGGCAGCGCGCCAAGTCGCATCTATTGTGCGGAGGTGAGCAGCGAGGTCAGCGACAGTAGGGAAAGACGCAAGATCAGAGAAGAGCATCGGTAGGATCAGGCGACCTACAGAGGCGGCAGGCGGGGTGGAATAGCGCTTGACCACGGAATCGAGGAATTCCTACGTAGTCGTGACTGACCAAAAGCGGGGGCGATCTGACAGGGGGAGGGCATGACTGATCGCAAGCTGCGCAACGGCGTCATGCGACAGCCAGACTGAGCGGGCAAGGGTAGCAGCTGCGGCGGACTCACGGTCAGCGGACGTGGGGTCAGCAGGCAGGGGAGCGGGGGTCAGGGCAGGGGAGCCTACCGTCAAGGTGGACCGCCAGGGAGTGGCCGTCCTGCCGCTGACGAGTGAGGTGACGCCGGAGGTCGACCAGCCACGTGTCAAACTCGAGCGGCTGACCCTCTGCGTCGAAGCGGAGCACGGAGTCCACCATCAGGAGCGATGCAGCAGCGGTGCAGTGCTGTGCAGTGCGGTGCTGTGCGGTGCAGATCGGTGCAGTGCAGTGTAGTGCGGTGTAGAGCGGTGCTGTGCGGTGCAGTGCGGTGCTGTGCGAGGCGCGGCGACATACGGGGCACCGAGGGCCGGCGGCGGGCCTGCTGACGTGGAACGGGCACGGGGCCGGTCAGGGACGGGCGCGGGGCCGAAGTGGGGGTTGGCACAGGGCCGATCAGGAACAGGCGCGAGGGCCGGCAGGGAACGGGCGCGGAGGCCAGCAGGGAGCGGGCATGAGGGCCGGGCAGAACGGGCTCCAGGGTGGCTAGGAAAGGGCACGGGGGCCAACTAGGAACGGGCGCAGGGGCCGGCTAGGAACGGGCGCGGGGCCAGCTAGGAAGGGGGGCGCGAGGTCGACGAGGGGCGGGCGCGGGGGGGGCGGCGAGGAAAGGGCGCAGGGCCGACGAGGGGCGGGCGCGGGGGCCGGCTAGGGAAGGGCGCGGGGGCCAGCTAGGGTCGGGCGCGGGGCCGGCTAGGGGCAGGCGCGGGGCCAGCTAGGAATAGGCGCGGGGCCGACTAGGGGCGGGCGCAGGGCCGGCTAGGAAAGGGCGCAAGGGCCAGCTAGGAGTGGGCGCGGGGGCCAGCTATGGTCGGGCGCGACTAGGGGGAACGGGAGGCTAGGACCTAGGGCGGAAACGTGAGCGGGCGGGACCTACCTACTCATGATACCATATCAGAATTGAATAATGAAATATAATAGGAGAGTACAAGGAGATATAAGCTAGGGAGTTGTACTCTCTAAGGCACAAACCTATATAGTCTATAGTAACATACTAAGATAAGTTTGACAATATAGACTACAGTGTTGTACCATCTAAGGCACAAACCAGTATAGTCTACAGTAACGACCTAAGTTACATTTGACACACCCTTTAGACTATATAGGGGCAGTGCCTAAGAAAAGAATAAGCAGCTCAGGGCGGCACTGCTAGTCCAGCCTTTGAGACAAGGGTCTAAAGACCAGTCAAAAAGGAGTACAGACAAGACAAGAGCAAGTCCAGGGCGGCACTACTAGGAGAGGCCACAAAGCCAGTCACTGGGAGAGGCCACAAAGCCAGTCTGGGTAATATATAGAAAGGTCTATGCACAATCAGAGCCCTAGCAAATGAGAGGCTACAAGAACAAGACCAAGCTGTACACAGTGCCGCTGATGATCTTTAGGCGCAAGCGCCTTCGTAAAGATATCAGCTGTGTTGGCACCCGAGGCCAAGTGTACTACGCAAGCCTGGCGGCGCTGCTGTAACTCACGCAGGAGGAAGTATCGTAGCTGAATGTGCTTCGCTCTGCCCTCGAGTCGCGACTCTTCACATAGGAGGATCATGGCCCTGTTGTCAGCGTACAGGACCGGGGCAGAGCTAGGCCGCTCACCTAAGTCAGGGAGTAAGAAGGTCAGCCAGCGGAGTTCCTGTCCCGCCATGGCATCGGCGTAGATCTCGGCCCCACAGCTAGACTGGGCAACAGACGAGGAGCGGGTAGCTCTCCACGAGACAGCACCTGAACCAAGGCTAAAGCAGTAGCCCTGCGAGGACCTAAGAGTCTCGGCGTCGTCTGCCCACGAAGCGTCTGTGTGCACAGTAAGGACCACTGGCCTGCGCCCTCCTAGCACTAACCCCATGCCCGATGTACTTGCTAGATAACGCAAAACCC